CCCAACAAAGGAAATGTTGACATTAACTAAGGCATTCGCAGTGTTTATTTAAAACCCTAAGAGGCCCACAGATCACCAGAGCTTCGTTGAGTTTCTTTTAAACGTACCCAAAAGCTATTTCAGGAGCTTTACTCATGTTTCTGATGTCGACATTTGCTCGTACCTAATTGCTTGCAAGTTCGTCTCGGTTGCACTGATTTTTGAGAGTCTACTCCGACAGGAAAGCTGACTGACTAGGTATCGAACCCAGAGGTCCCGGATGGCAGGCGAACGCACAATCCACTGCACAAACCTGACTACCTGGGTGGTTTATTATTTCGCATTACCCATGCACCGCACCTGCCAGATAACCTTTGGGTAGATTTGTTTTAAGCGGACAAAACCACGCAATCAGACTTGTCACGTTACACGAGCTGCCGCGTCGCACCGCCGACTGGGAGACAGTTCTTCACATCCCGAACGTACTGATTTCTCTATACGACCAACTCACACTGTCAAACTGACCCTATATAAATCCCTGCTGCGTCTGTGGCTATTTTCCGCTGTTGCTGATTGCGCCATTATTGATTGTACATTTGCCTAATTCATGATGCTTAACAATCCGTTTTTCTGTAGAACAAGTTCCTGTCAGTCCTCAATACATCATCTGCTGCCCACGTCTGCCGGTTCCTATTGGCTTCTGGTTACGAACTACGTGTAATCTAATAGCCATAACCGTTCTATGAGATCCATAACCGTCCGGATCTTAAAAGTACATTTCTGTAAATAAATACCATTATTAGCTGGAAATTTTTATAAAAGTTTCCCTTTTCCAAACTTTGGTTCTAGAGATATTTGGGGTGATTCAAAGGATCGGCCATCAGATGGCGGTTCCTCAGGTGCAGAACCAGTAGTCCCCTGAGACCTGGGCCCCAACAAAGGAAATGTTGACATTAACTAAGGCATTCGCAGTGTTTATTTAAAACCCTAAGAGGCCCACAGATCACCAGAGCTTCGTTGAGTTTCTTTTAAACGTACCCAAAAGCTATTTCAGGAGCTTTACTCATGTTTCCAACTGGTAACGTGGTACAGGGCAATCGGTCTGTGTATGCAATTAAAAGACTTATCACTGTCGTGATTTTCGCCAGTTTTTCGTCCTTCACTGCATTGGAAAATAATTTGAAGGAATACATGAAGTATAGCTGAGCGCCTTCTTTCCACATAAACATCAGCCACCCGCGACATGTTCGATTTATTCTACCGTCATTTCACCAGGAGTCCTGCTGAACAACTTCGAAGCCTAGGATTTTGGCAAAGCTAGGAGGTTTTGTGGATTTGTATTGCAGAAAGCACACGTTATACAGAGCTTCTGTAGAGCTTCTGATTTTATCGGTATAATAATTGTTTGATGGTGAAATACGACCACCTATTGCATAACCACCTACTCAGAAACCGCTTTTACATCCCCCCGCCAGCCGAATCCCGACACGAGATGATTTAATTACATGAAGTGCTATGCTGACACATGGTACTGTGTCACAGAAATTTGCTGCAGTACGTTGCGGGCGAATTTCGCATGTGCTGCGGACACGGCTAACTTCCACGAATGGTTAGGTTAATGTTCACCCTTTGCCTACTTGAGTTGATAACATATCGTCCGTTCTTGCAGAGCTTCACAGAACTGGACCTGTAATGGTGGAGGATCCTGATATTTACCACATTAGCCAAGTGTGTTTTACCCCGCACACAACGAGCAGTTCTGTTTCAATGTTTCACAGACCTCGAAAGCGTCGATCCCCCACGGGTCGTCTTGGACTAATTCTTTTACGGCAACTGACTTTTTCGGCGTAGGTACGAGCTGTACACCTTATTTTCTCATGGAAGCTATGTGATCGGTCATGCATGCTTCTGCGGAAAACGGGCATTTTGTACCTCTGCGTAGACTAATGGGCTCGTTCAGGGACATTCTGTGGGGGGAGTCTGCAGAGGTTCAACCATGTCTTCTCATTTTCAGGCGTTTAACACCCCGGCTGGTACCCTCACAAGCACCTCCTATCAATGGCCTGAATAATCGGGCTGATGTAGAAAGGAACCTAGGTAGTGATCCACGATACTGGGGATGCCCCGTGTGGTCAACGTGGCTGGCCAGTCGGACTTGTTTGCCGTTGGCGTCCGCCGGACAGAACAATAAATCACGGCCACTGACGTGCCCGCCGTGTGGAGGAGCTCTGCAAGCGCGTCCACCAAATCAATGTGCGTGCGGCGCCAAAACCGAATTTTCTCGTTACCGGTAAATTCCGTAGATGCGTCACTCCGGTTACCAAGCGATCAGCTTCGACATCGACTACTACTGGCCCATGTAAAATCAGCCGAGTCTGCCTCGTAGGGCTGTTGCGATTAAAATGTTTTATTTGACCTTGTTGCAGAGTGAGACCGGTAAGTTGAAACCTGATTACGGTTGCACATCTCCAAAACTCGCATTCTAATCACGAGTTGGCAACTTTGTCTGATTTTTCGATGAGTGAATATCTCCGAGTATCTTTTTAGAGCCGGTCACCCAACTGTGCTGATACATTGACGCATAAGTCACGCTTGTGTGTTCCAATGACCAGACTACATATTGATCGGGAGTACATTTTGCTAAGTTCATGCTTACTTGCCGAAAATGAGTACTAGTGAATACTGATACATATGTCACACACAACACCGGACGTGTAGCTGCAAAATAGTGAAATAAAAATGAAAATAGACTCACAGGTCTTCAAGGTCTTCTCTAGTTAAAACGACTGTTCTGGCTTACTGCCTAACGGTAAGTATCATCTTACCCACTAAATCGTCACTACGGTGACATCGATAGGTACATTTCTCAAAATGCCTAAATCCCTCGGATACTGGAGACCAAGGAGTAAGGCCGCCCCTCCTATTGCTTTGTATACATCTGTCTTGAGCTCACACCAATGGTCTATTGTCAATGATGGAACTAAGCCAGTAGGTAGTAAGTTTGCCCCTGAGGCAGAACGGTGCTTCAACGGCCGCGTCCAGGGAATATAGGAGAAAAAATTTGCTATACCGATTTCTTTCCGGGAGCATCATCGATGTTTTGCGGAAAAACGGGATGACTACCTGGTGTGTCCGTATCGACGCATCAAACAGATAAAAAGATGCGCCTACGGCACGGCATTGCCGTGCCCGCTTAAGCATTGGTTATCGGATCAAACAGTACCACTGCCTGAGTTTCGGAAAAAATGGCTCCACTAGTCCCGAACATAATTTGGCCCAGCAGATTGGGACGTCGGGTGAAAGTGGCATTTCTCATCACTTTCTCTTGGTGGATAAGGGTGGCTAAAAATGGAAGAGGCCCAGAACGCCGGGAATGCCCGAGGATTGTTTCAAGTGATACCTGTGGACAACCCACGGAAACCATCGGTAAGTGAAACCATCAACGGTCAGACTGGAACGGCCATTTGGGATGAAGAAGACTGCCTCATTTTAATATGGTTTCGTGATTGACGAAGCAATGTGAAGAACACTGGAAGGTCTTCAAAGACCTGGTTTTCAAACAACTTCTGACAAAATCCTTTTCGATCTGGAATATACAGATTACATTGTTCTGGTCTTTGGTGTGGAGAAGGCAGTTATTTATGGATAAACTGACCAAAATCATGTTTATGCATGTACTTCGTACCCACTACGTTTTGGGGTATGCTCATAAACATGCAGTCGCTGAACACGTTACAAACCAGGGAGAGGCGGTCACAACTGTAGAAAGTTTAATGTATCATTGAAGTTGTATTAGCCCCGAGTGTAGTGTGACAGATGAGGTCAATCCACGAGGTTGCAAGGCTCGGGTCGCGTTTGCTAGTCAAAAAAAGTATACCTCTGAACCCCAAGGGACGTGTGCATCAGGCTGCGGGACGGACGATTTTGTGTGTCTGAGATGTGCCATGTTCGACTAGTAAAATTAAAACATCACGTCTTCGGCTAAAGCTGTCTTAGAACCATAGCTGATGTGGGTTGGTCCCAGCGAGTTCTTAATAAGGCAACTAGAAATCAAAGCTTCGCCTGCACGATAGAAGTAGCGTTAGTTAAACTATATATTGCGTCTGTTTGACCATTGTGTGTCTAGGAGGATGGCATTTTCCGTGTCAAATTCAGAGTACCGAAAACAGAGCGGTGACCAACCCCTTACCTGGCAAAAGTACATGAAAGAGAGACAGAAGTCTCAGTACAGTCGGTGAGACTCGCCTTTCGGGCTGGAGACCGCGTAATTCCCATCGCGTCTGATTAGAGCAGCTGATAGTTTTGGCTTCTAATCGGTGTCAGTGTCATTCTTGTTGTCAGTTTCTATCCAGATTGCATGAATGAGCGTGTGGAGGTGCAGGTACCTCAGAATGGCACTAAGGAAAAATCTTGCCTTCATTCATTCTTTTGTCAAAAATAAGGCTCTCAAATAAATGATGGTTGCACGGCAGCGAAGCATTTGTGTTTAAGTCTGATGTCACGCTGTGATACATGATGATGATCATGTTGATGGTGATGAATATATGTCGGGTAGACACAATCCGTACACCTTATTGGCCCCCGATCATGTATGCCTTTGTGGAAGTTCAGCAGCTTGGTTTGATGTCTAATCTATTTATCTTGTTTAAAGAGATAATGAGCAAACAATATATAGTGGATGGATATCTTTGGTGCGCGCAAGGTAGTGGCACAAATGCTGGCGGCCAGGATCGTATTCGGCTGTCATTCATGTTTAGCTGTTTGCATATCTGGAAAGTTATCGGGCAGTATTTAGTGTCACATAACAGTGGTGCATTTGAGTTCCTAGATATCTTCTGTCAAAAGCGGACGAATCTTTTACCGTATTCCTTATCTAGACAACGCAGACAGTGGGCCTTTTAATGTTGTTCCTTGCGCACACATTCCCTTACAACCGTAAACACTGTCAAAAGGAATCCACGATTCGTTTCTTATTTCTCGTCAGGCAAGTAGTCTGTGCACGCAAAATCCATGGCGATACACTAAAACATTGTGACGAACAATCGTCTGAAGAATGTTAACGGTCTCTTGAACAGGCGGATACACCACTCGGTAGGACTCAAGGCTACCATACAGATGCCTCCGCACAGAGTGGATTGTTTAGAAGCAAATCTTGCTATGATCGACAAAAGTCATATCTTGTTAGCTGACTAGGCATTTTGGACCGCGAGCGGCATGTTAGTCGTGCACATGAGCCCGGTTCTTTTGGCTGCAATGAGTAAGAGACGTTCACCTCGCTGAGTAATTGAAATTATTAGTTGGCGGTTTCTCCAAGATTTGGAGTGAAGTTTAGTGGCTGGCGTTTTGCTTAATAACTGATGAAGTACACCTGTAACACCAAAATACCTAACACCCCCGCCGAAGAATACGTATCATTCCTTGCCATTTGTAGTGGAGAACTTTGTTGAGTATATCTGTCGAATTTCGTGCAATATGGGTTCAAGTAGAACGTAATGTTGACGGAAAATCGGATGCTGCACCTATCCGACGAGCCCCAAAGGAGCAAACCAGTAGCTGGCGGCTAAAGAGTTTTCAGTAACGTTATGAATAGTTTCCTTCAAAAAAATCATACCACGATATCTCGGATGTTGTACCAACTGAAACATCATGTGGAATTTTTGGAGCACGTCTAGTTGAAGAATTTCACAGAAGAGATCCAAGTAAGCCTTTCTGGAAGCCCCTGGACCTCGTTACCCAGAGTTTTCAGTAACGTATGAATAGTTTCCTTCAAAAAAATCATACCACGATATCTCGGATGTTGTACCAACTGAAACATCATGTGGAATTTTTGGAGCACGTCTAGTTGAAGAATTTCACAGAAGAGATCCAAGTAAGCCTTTCTGGAAGCCCCTGGACCTCGTTACCCAGAGTTCGTTCGGACTGATGACGGATGAAATAACGTAGAACTATTGTACGCTTTTGTTTTCTATATACATTCATTCTAAACATCATTGGTCGGTCTTCTACCTGAACAGAAACTCATTGCAACTGACCGTTTCTTCCTTTATCGGCTTCTGTCTATAAACACTTTTCTCTGAGATCAGATGATTGCTTGCCTTAAAAGGAATCTTTAGGAATCAATCCATGGTTGCCTTAGAGGATAATATCCGCCCTTTGATTTTGTACCTGCGTTTAGCCATGTTGAATTCTGGTGGTGCAATTGTAAAGTGTACTCGGATCACTACAGTTTTTTGATCTCGTGCCCACACATCGCCTTCAAATAGACACGAATCTGTATCCATCTGAGAAAAATTCATTCTACTTATATTCACGACGTATGATGGTTTACGATGAATAGTCTTTGAGCCTTCTACATGCAATCGGAATCCCCGGCTAAGCACAATCATACAACCATGACTAACCTCACTACCACCATCTCCGAAAAATATGATCTGACCGAAGACAAACGTTTTCCTCTGGTAGACCACCAGGAAGTTCTTGTCAGCTGCAGTTTAGTATAAAGCATCTCAAATAGTGACCACTTTCTAGAAGCGTAATAACCCTCCAATTTGTGATGCTTTGTATTTAAAGGAATTTTCGGTACTCAGGAGAAGACTACGTCTGCCTAAAGTGTTATGCACATATAATTTGTATCAATAAAGAAGCCTCACACACTAGTGATGGTTGAACTAGAGTCCGATAACCATATCTTGATTTTCCTTGCTTATTTGTTTATTCACTTGGCAGGAACACATTATAGCAAAAGTTCGGTATAAATTGGAGAATGTAAAGGATAGGATTTCGACCAACTTTACTCAGCAGCTAATCAAACAGGAACCAGTGACATAAAAATGTACACGACTGAATTCATCACTGAGGAGTCAGTGAGCTTGTGAGGTATACTGTTTAGTTGGCTTCACTGATTTCTTGAATGCTACCACCGGAGTTCTCGAGAAACATATTGAAATCTTCCATAGTTCCTCCTAGACAGAAATGAAAGCAACATAAAATATACCGTTGCGTATTCATACAAGTAAGTGGCGAATGATCGATTTCGGAACTTTTGTTCAAGAGTTAATTACCAGGCATTCAATCAGTGCTGAAGACCGAGACACACTCTAAAGCTTTTTCATTCATCAGTTATGATAGAATGGCCCTTGCTGAATGATGAAAGTGACTGAGGAATGACACTGAGACTTCTCAGGGTGGTACGGATTCACATCGTCGTCTCTAGTTATGACTGTGTAAATATGTCCTGTATACTGATGCAGTTCCACAGATTATTTTACTTCTTTCGGGTGAGAAAGGAACTAATTCCTCGAATGTCCCACCTTTACCATTCCAGATCCTAAGACTGTTTAAAAGCACTATGCTGGACCTTATTATAATATTTTTGATAATAATTTATTTACTAACAACTCTAGGCAGTGGTCATCAATAAACAACAGTAGAAAAACATTCATACTTCTCTCACTCTGATAAATAGGCCTGAAAATCCCAAAGAAACGATTTTAAACGAACTAAACGCCCTCACATCCTCATGATAGCCGAACAGTTTCTGTCAGCGTGCACACACTTGTGGGGGGGGGGGCACATAAAGCTGCAGTAGTTTATGTGTTTGGAGGTCATCGCATGCTCAAACGTATCAAAAAATGAAGCATTTGCTGCTGGATGGTACGTTTAACCCTGTGATGAAACACATCTATGACCAAGCAGGGTATTTTTGTGCGCATTTTGATAACGTTTTTATTTGGAACGTGATTGGTAACATATCAATGATAGCTCTAGAACGTCCGTCCAGCATCTTTAAGGCTCAACAATGGAGCAACACAGCCAACACAACAACAAATTAGAAGATAGGATAGTGGACACAAAAGACGCTACATCCCACTCGTATTCGTTTGATTGCAAGAATCCATGAATATATATTTGGTCACAGCAAATGAAATGTCGGACTATAAAGTCTTATAACAATACAATCTTTTTGCCCTTGAAATTAAGCCTCTTGGATGAATGCTGGTAGACAAACGCATCGTGGATTCCTATGGCGTCTTACCAAACTTGGGTCATCGTCGAACCTATGAATATTTCACTCAGGAACTACACTGAAGTATTCCTACCTTTGAAGCGGAGTTCTAGGTCTACCCGAAGTATGAATTCGTAGAATTCTTGAAAACAAAAGCAGTTACCAAGTCATCATCATCGAATGCTTTATAGCATTCTCTGAATGTAAAGCAAAGCTGCAAGCGGCTTTGGTCGTTGGAGCTATATATGAATACTAGTTTAACTGTTCTTACGTCATTGAAATCTTGTAGACCATCATTCGCAGTTCACTTCTAAAACCAAGCATACGTGTACCACAATATATAGGACATTCTTTTGATCCAAACGGCTGTGGTCGTCTTTGAACCAGTGTTTTGGAGCCAAGAAACCCCAAGGTAGTGGACTATACCATGGCACAATTAGCAGGCCGTAAGGTGAAAAAGGAACCGACCTTCAAAATAGGCCACTTTAAGACAGGTCTCTTAAGGCCCATCAGAAGACACAACCTGAGAAGAGGGTGCACTTTGTTCCGTCTCATGGGCAATACTTTTTGGAGGCCTATACTGCCCCTGCTGAAGTCCTATCGAAAATGAGTATATGGCTGGATGGATTGAATGTACTGGCTTAATTAAATGAATACATTGAAATGGTGAAGCGCTTTGGGAGATTACGAAAGCCTTCCATAACAGATGTTGGTTATCGTGAGGGTAAAAACTATATTTTCATACTGTGGATATGTCATCGTGATGTTTTTCATCAGGAGTTGCTTATCATAAGGAGACAAGCATAACCATTGGAAATAGCTAACAAAAATGGAAAAAGCATGCAAGGTCTAACTTAGTGAGAGATAATCAAATTCCAACATTTCACCTCGGAAGGCACATATTACCATTCAAAACTGCACTTACTAAACACCAACTGAACAGGTGCCCAATATCCGTTGAACTTGCACCCGTCTTCGGGTCCATTCTGTTCCTGCAGGAAAGTGGTGCGAAGATCCACGTGTGCGGTTTCTTGCGAATTTGCCCAAGTTTGTATTGTGACCAGTCGATATTTGCCCAAAATTGTACCACCTACAGTGTTCTCACTTTTCTTCAAGAGTTCACAGCTTGTGACAGTTAGCTTGTCGTTGTGGAATGTTTTGTTCGTATACTGCATTAAAATAAAGCAAAAATGAGACTGAACGAATGCCTTATTGTCAGCCTACCTATCCTTGTATTTTTACGGCATATCCTTACGAATGATCGTTCTGTCAAACTTACCTTCATGAATAAAACAAGTGAGACGTAAGATTATGTACACACCTGTGGCCTAAGACCAGCCAGTTAATTGATGCGACCCCGACACTAAGGTTAAAAATCAGCATTGACCTGAAAAATATGACGAATGTAGTTTTCGTCAGCTTGCGTTTTCCTCACGACTAATATTCCCAAAAACTTACTGCGGAACACATCAAAAGAGACCATGAAAATAAGGAGTGGAATAAAGTGTGAAAAATATCTTGACAAATTCACTCAGTTGCATGTCGATTTGGTTTTAGCGAGAGTCTCACCTAGAACCCAGCTGAATCTCTTGTTCATGATGTGTAAATCTGTCCGAGTTGGGTTCAAGTAGAACTTAAGTTTGACAGAAACTCTTGGACTGCACCTACCTAATGGACCTCATCAGGGGCAAAGCCGGTACTGGGTTGTCGATGAGTTTTCAGCAACCTTATGAGTAGCGTACCACGTCAATAGTTGAAAATGCAACAAAAATCCAGGCCTAGTCTCAGTAGCCTTATGTTCCGAAGGCAGCGTCCTCGAACAATGCTTTAAGCCTTAGAAAATTTGCTCCTGGAACCGGAAAAATTAGGAGTTTTCCGGTGATTAATTTACAAAGAAAAACTATGAATCTCGCCACAGGAGAGGAAATGAGGGCTGTAAATAAATTAACAGAATGATTGCCCCAGGAGAGGGGGACGACTGTTAAAACGAGAGTGATGTGAGCGTGCTTTCGACAAATTCCGAAACCATTCATACCATTATTGTATGCTTCCAAGTGGAGTGAAGACAAGTCCAACTATTTTATGCTCTATTCCTATTTTCTGTAAAAATCCAGTCCAAATCCAGTCCAAAGTCACAGAGGAATGATGAGTAGGTTGATTCACACAGTATGTTACATCTATCCCGGTAGCGACTGAATGGACGGCTAAATATCGCGCTTCGTCCAAACAAATACTGAGTTTGCTATTGTTTGATTCAGCCTATAAACGCTGTTTATATAAATACAATCTTTTGATGAATGTTTTCACGGAAAAAATGTCAGATACCGGATAAGCAAAACAGCGGACTGTTGATACGCGGGGATATTCCAACAGATGTGTGTCACTGGTTATTGCAGCTCTTGGAGACATCTTCACACTAGAAGGATTAGGAAGCTCCCTGGCTAGGAACGATTTACAGTGTAGAACGAAATGGATACGATGGCTCATTGGTTTAATGAGTGGAAGCTGGAAACGATAAAATGTAACACAAAATACACGAAATAACACAACCGGTGATATGAATGAATGATCGGAAGATATTTGCTTTTTTGGAAGGCAGAAATTGGCAGCGTTCTACACACGGGTAGCTCAGGAAGGAAACAGTGTGGAGATGTTAGCCCCATA